CCACTAAAGCTTAGTTCCCACTCGTTTGTGGCAATAGTCCCTTGATGGACAGCACACACCTTCCTCTCTGTACTGTCGTTGGAATCAACAGTCACAATTCCATTTCCTCTTTTCACCTGCACAGAGATCGAGTCTGGGGCTCTGTGACGGAAACCGTCCTCTGCCTCTCCCTGCCGTGGTCCCCATCACATTTAGAAAGTCACTGAGGTCAACTCTGAGCCAGATGTTTCCTCAGGTCCAGTCAGAAACTGTAACCAAGAGATGAAAGTTATTATTGTCATTATGCCCAAGACTGTTGGATGCTTTGCTGTATAAATACAGACCAGGACAAAATATCAAAGCACAGAAAATTCTTCTTCGATGAGTCAAGCATTGTGGAGGGTTTTTTGGCCCTTTGCCATGTGCATCAAACACTACAGGTTGGTGAACCCAACACGCTTACAGGTCTTTTAGTCCTCACCAGCTGCCAATGCAGAGATTTTTCACGGCTCCTCTTACAGCCTTGAGTCGTCCAGTGAAAGAATTCTAGGCAAGAGGAAAGAAGCCTCTTGGCGAGGGGAGGAGGAAAGATAATTCTGTGAAAACATTTGCTAGCTCATATTGCCCCTTCTCCTTTTTTGTCCTCCTTGGGACATGGACATGATATCTGGAGCTGGGCAGCCATCCTGCAACCATGAGTTAAAAAGGGAGAATTATAAACATGCTTTTCCTGACATTGTAGAGCTATTGAACCAATGCCATCAGTTGTCTACTTCCTTCCCATCTACTTCTCATGTAGGAAAAATAACCCTCTTTTTGTGTAAGCCAATGACAAAAAAATGAGATCTTCTCAACTATACCTAACAGAATACATTGTAAGAATAAATTTTTTAATTGAAATCTAAAATGTCTCATCATAAGTTTTCATAATTAAATAGGATGTCATTTCCAGTCCTTGCAATTATATGATTTAAAAATAAACAGTTGCATCACTCTGTTAAATGTATGCAGTGGGCTGTAAACACCTCAGCAGTTTGATACCATCATTCATTCTTTTTTTCTATTCATTCTTAACATAGATAATGAACTGCTCATTTTCACTGGGAAATTTTGCATCATTCCATTTTCTTCTTGAATTTTTATTTATTTTCCACTTTCCCCAGAGAATTTATTTCTAGTCTATGTATCTTTATGCTTAAAAGAATTGTATACAGTATTCTCTCATAGCCTTAGGCATCAAAAATACATATTCAAATTAATATTTATAATTCCTAAAACAATAAGCCTCTAAGAGCCCAATATTTGTACTAAATTATCACTCTTTGTTTTAATACTTGCATTAAATTGGTCAAAGCTACATAAACATATTTCATATTTCAAAACATTTAGTCACCTAACACAAACTATAAAATTTTATTGGAGACATATCTCACAATGAGATGAGGGGCTGTTTTTTCAATTCTTTTAAAATTAATTTATATGTCTGTAGATAAACATTATCTACTTCTGAAATGAGACAGTTTTGGATGAATATCTCTTAGTTACATAAACACTGAAAAACTATTCACATAAATAAGTAGCAGGAGCACTAAGAGTTTTGTTATGAACCACCTTGGAAATGATGTACCTTCATTCTTTGAACACCTTCAGAATAACATGCCACGTGAATATGCTATTCTCACAGCAGTCTACCATCAAAAGTTACTTTTAAAGGTCTGTCAGCTGAAAAATCACAATTCATCTTTGGATTTTGTTAAAAACAAAGAATTACAAATCATCTGAATTATAAACACTTTCTGGCTCAGTCATTAGATTTTGAATTGTTCATTTGGTACCCCTACTTTTCCACCCTGGGGCAATGTACCATGCGGAGAATGGGGGTGGGTGAAGGGTGTCCATTTCTTCTGTAAAATAAGAGTCAGGGAATTGTGAAAAGTGTGGCAGGACAGAGGATCTGCCAACCAAACACAACACCTTGTCAGGCAGACCAGTTTTAGGAAACTAGAGTCAACAAAGGTGGAAATTTACCACTTCCAAACTCTGTGTCATGTAGCCCTTGGGAAATCTTCATGTACACATTATGGTGAAGGTAGCCCAGCTTGAAGGCTACTGGCTTAAGCTGCTCTATTGAGGCTTTCTGCTACTGCTTGCAGTTGACTTTCTAGTAATAGTAACTCTCATCTGAGATGATATGAAGCTCATAAATGGTCACTAAAGGAAGATGGAATAGCAAGCCTTAGCTCAATAAAATTCCATGAGATAAATTTTAAAAAGGGGAAGGAGTGAAATGAAATGAACTATTACTTGGTCTTAAGCTCTGGCACACTTTTCTGCTATGTTTTGTAGGCTTACTCATTTGTAAAATCAGTTAGAGGACAGACGCAGCTCAGCTCTCAATAATACAAGTGAGAAAGGAAGAGTTGTCACCAGGTGCCATTGCTCTCGAGGGTCTCATCTACAGTCAAGGGAGGTGGTCCCGCCACCAGGAGGTGTCCACAGCCCTTGTTTGTTAGAACACAAAAAGATCTCTTGAAATTCACCTCGGATTTTTTTGTTTTAATTTAATTTTATTTATTTTTTTATACAGCAGGTTCTTATTAGTAATCTACTTTATACATATGTGTATAACATATGTATAGACATGTCAATCCCAATTCATCACACCACCACCACCCCTCCCCGCCACTTTCCCCCTTGGTGTCCATGTGTTTGTTCTCTATTTCTGCCCCGCAAACCGGTTCATCTGTACCATCTTGGATTTTTAAATCAGGAAAAAAATAAAACCCGAGGGACTGAATCACCAGTGCAAGTGTTATCTGATTATTACTTACTGTTACCTTGAGATGAAATTTGTTTAAAATCCACTCTGACAGATGTCTCTAAATTTGGAACATTTCATTTAAGGACTTATAAAAAATAAAAAATAAATGATTAACTAATTTAAAGCCCAGCATGGATAAAGGAGCCTTCCTGGATCTTAGGGACAAAAAGAAAAAAAACCAAAACCCCACAAAATTTCCCAAGAGAATTCCTTAGCGGATCCAAGTGCCTTCTGCATGCATGTGCATGGAATCATCCTGGGTGGGAGGGATACAGCAGCCAGGACCACCCTGTGGTAGGGCAGATTATTCATGGCAAAGAGGTGCTCACAAGAGGGGCCAGTGGGGCTAAAATCAGCCCATCCACTCTCCAAGCCCTGTGCTCTGGCGGGAGGAGGCATCCATCATGGGGACAAGTTTTATTGCTGTTGTCTTAATTTCCACAATGGCTCTCCTCTCTCTCTGTGGTTGCCCTGGTGGTACCTGCTTCTTTCTGGTTGAATGGATTAGACACATGTGTCCCGTTAAATGGCAGAAAGGAGATGAAAGGACTTGGAAAGCATAGCACATGTCACATTGGTAAAAGATTTCTGTTCTTATTTTGAATGTTCACTACTCAGAAAGGTCTGCTTTCCACCCACAGGCAGTTACAGTGGGTATAAGACTGTCCCTGAGGTCACTGAGTCACCAGGTCACAGGTGAAATGTAACATCCAATCCAGCCCCTCCCTGCTGCCTTCCACATGTGACCGAGGCTCTACTTTCCTCCCATTATCCACTGTCCTTTTTTTTCTTTCTAACACCTCTTCGCCACCTCCCCCACCCCCCAATTACTTGGAGTAGTAATGTACCCAGCAGGGAAGTCGGGGCTGGAGGACACTTCTTAGACATTTTATGCAACTAGGGATGGTCACGTGACTCAGGTCTGTCTATGAGATTTCACTGGAAGTCTTTGGGTAGCTGCGGTGTCTGGGAAACCTCTTTAAAGAAGCTAACTCAGCTGGTATGAACCTGCTTTACGCCCTTTCCTTAAGTTTCCCTTTTCTTGCCTGAAATTCCAATGTGCTGACTGGATCTAAAATGACCACCTTGAAAATCAGGGTGACCTTGAGGATGAAGCCACCCACTAAGGCAGGCAGATGAACCACACGAGACATCCGGACTATTGATTACATCATGTAGCTGCCACATCAGCCCTGGATGCCCTGCCTACACTTTTTTTTTTTTTTTTTTGGCCATGCTGCATGGCTTGTGGGATCTTAGTTCCCTGACCAGGGATTGAACCCATGACCTCAGCAGTGAAAGCACAGAGTCCTAACCACTGGACCACCATGGAATTCCAATACACATTTCTTTTACATGAGAAAAAGAAGAAAGAAAAGAAAAGAAAACCCTAAGCTGTTCCCGTCCCTTTTTTCTGGTTTCTGTTACTATCAGGTGAATGCGATTCCCAACAGTATGTCAAGTACAGAAAGGATCAGCTATGGAGAGGCTCTTCTTAGTTTAAAGAAGAAATTATCTTCTTTCTCATGACTTCATTTTTTTTAATAGGAATATTGAGAAGACAGCTCACAGCTATGAAAAGTGGAGACCAGGGACATTTCAGCCCATGACCAACCTGCAGTCTCCACACCCGATCTGCAAAGAAGGAATGCTCAGCAGAAACCAAGGCAGAGACCATGGACACAGGCAAGGGTGTGTCTGGCACTGAATGCCCGCCCAGGACATGCTTCCTGAGCTTTGACAAGAGTTTGCAGGAGAAGCAAATAGAAAACAAAAGAATCAGCAAAGTGCCTGCCTTAGGGGTTATTCCATGATAAATGGTGGAGTGGAGTGAGGGAAGGAGGCTGAGAAGATGCTGGGCATGGAGGCTGGAATGGTTTAGGCTCAGTGCCGTGAAGAAGGGCGTGATAAGGAAGGTGGCTTCAAAGCTTCAGATCTGAGGGGCACTGGTCCAAATTATCCAGGGACAGAATCACAGAACAGTCTTTGCTGACTGAAAATAAAGAAGGCCACAAGGGCTCAGTAAAGTATTCTAATCATGGTGATAAATGGACTATTTATAAATGGAATGGAGTATTTATAAATGGAATATTTCCTGCCATATCAATAAACAAAGGATGTCACAGTCACCAATGATTGCAGCCCTCCAAGGTGAGCTGGTGAGCCCTGAGGAAACTCAGGACTGAAAATACCTGCCATCTAGCAGTCCTCAGACTGCAGCCACTCCCTGCAGTGAGCCCTGAGGAAACTCAGGATGTAAAAATACAGGCCCCAGACAGCTAAGGTGCATTATCAAAGGAATGATTTCGGTGAGCCCAGACTCTTGCATCTTCCCATACATAGAAAAAGTGCTAAATTCCTTAACTTGAGATATCCGGTTTTCTTTATTTAACAACAATCTTTTGATGTTCCCAATTACCTGCTCTTTGTTGCAAAACTCCTAAATATCCTGGCACCTCCCCTTGCTGCCTCGGAGCAGTTTCTCAGAGTTATCTGAAATGCCGTCTCCCAGGATACAGTCCTCATTTTGCCCCAAATAAAACTTAACTCGCAACTCTCACGTTGTGCATATATTTTTTTTAAGTCAACAATGGGAAGAAGCCAGTGAGCAGGAATTTGTAGCAAAATAGCAAGTGGATAGGATGTGGAGAATGAGGGTTGACAAAACTGGTGGGAGATGCCAAGAAATGCTGACTCTGCCCAAACACACCACCTTCGAAGGCTCCACTTGGCCTCAGGCCTTCTTTAGCTTCCTGGTCCCACACAGCACCTGGCCACCAGGCCCAGCAGCTGCCCACACAGCCACGTGGTGCCCAGGGTGACCGCCAGCAGGAACGAGAAGAGGTCCAGCAGGTACTGCTCATGCCACCACGGCTGCTGGAAGGTGTGGGGCTTGAGGTGAGCCGCACCCGCTGTCTGCAAGATGTGGTTGATTCAGCCCACCAGCCGCTGGCTGGGGGTCAGGGGGTGCGAGCGCTTCATGATGCTGGTGTCGACCATGGCAGATTTCTGCTTATTGGCAGAGACAGATGGAGGTGTTACTCAAGTGGTCTCAGAAGTCTTAGAGACCTTGCATCACACACACACACACACACACACACACACACACACACACATTTTCCAAATTATGCACAAAAGATTCCCTTTCAAGGAAAAGTTGTTGGCTTGGCCTTGCTATGGTCTAGTTGGGTCCCTTTAAAAAGTCCAAACTGGGCTTCCCTGGTGGTGCAGTGGTTGAGAATCTGCCTGCTAATGCAGGGGACACGGGTTCGAATCCTGGTCTGGGAGGATCCCACATGCCGCGGAGCAACTAGGCCTGTGAGCCACAACTACTGAGCCTGCGCGTCTGGAGCCTGTGCTCCGCAACAAGAGAGGCCGCGATAGTGAGAGGCCCGTGCACCGCGATGAAGAGTGGCCCCCGCTTGCCACAACTGGAGAAAGCCCTCGCACAGAAACGAAGACCCAACACAGCAAAAATAAATAAATAAATAAGAAATTAAAAAAAATAAAGTTCAAACTGATATTTGCATGCAAAGATCCATGCTTGGTGCTGGGAGTGCTAAACTATAAAAACAGTGACTAAGTCTGTAAGGACTAATCTCTACCCCAAGGAGGCTTAAGATATGCTACAGGAAACCATTATATTTATTGAGCATCTACTTTGAGCTGGTGTCTGGGCTAGATAACAAATGTGACTCTGGGGACTGTAGCCCAGGAAGACATCTGCGCTTTCCTGCTCCTTCAAAGCATCATGTTGACCAGCACTGGCTTCATGGGCTATGAGCCTGCATATTTGCACAGGGCCCCACCCTTAAATGGGCCTGTGCTTGATTTAATTCTCTGCTGTCACCCTCTTGAAATCCTTAAACTTTATGACAAGGGTCTCCACATTTCACATAAGGGCACATGAATTATGTAGCCAGCCCTGATGACCAATGTCTGTGGACCATCCCAGCCCAGATGACTCCTTCACAGGGCCAGTGGATCATGCACATTTGGGGTTTAGGTCTTTGAAAATCCAGTGAAAGTTACGAAGCCATTCATCAGAAAATGAATATTTTAAACACGTGAGATACCAAATATGCATAAAGTTTCTGGGTTATCTGACCCCCAGAGCTTAACAACTTTTCTGGGGTTAGGAGTCACATGCAATGTGGTTATTATTCAGTCACCTAACAGGAATTACTTACAGGTCTCCTATGTGCCATAACGTTGTGCAGTAATGCTAAGTCTTGAGATATGATTCGGGTTTGCGCCCTTGAAGCTCTAAGTTTTTTAGTCCTTCTTCATTATAAGAAAGAAAATATATTTTTCCTCTTCATATGAGATTACTGCGCTGGTTGGAAAATTTCTTAAGAGGTCAATGGGCCCCTTTGTATTTACTCACTTAACAGGAATCCATTCAAACTTACTTTGTGGCAAGCCCTGTGCTGAACCCTGGAAACATAGCAGAAAAGAGGAGACATGCGCTGTTGTCCTGGGTGAGCTTACTCTCTACTTTCTAGTGTGGGGGACAGCCAATATATTAAAACATAAAGAAATGGGCAATTACAGATCCTGTGACGTGCTAAGAAAAAAATAATATGCTATAATTGGGGTGGATAGGAGAGAAGGCTTTGGGACTATCAGAGAAAGACAGTCTCTCTGAGCAGGTGGCATTGGGATGAGGCCTCGATGTCATGAAGGAGCCAACCCTGTGAAGAGAAGGGAATGTGTTTTCTAGGGAGCAGCACAGTCAAAACGGCTGAGGTGGGGAGCAGTGTGGGATATTGGGAACAGAAAGGCAACTTCCTGCCTCAGTTGGAATTCTACTATAAGCACCTCCAAAGTAGAAGACCTCTCAAAGACACCCTGTGTCAGTAGTTCGGGTTCCTCACAACTAGAAGGCATAAAATCATTCTCATCATCTAACCTAAACTGCTCTAGTCGTCCTCTCATAGGAAATAAGTCAGCTGTTAGCATCACACACATATTATTTCACGTCCTGGAAATTTCAGTTTTATTGCAAAAAAGACCCACACGGTGCCCGTTGTGGTTTACATCTTCATTCAGTGTGAGTAACCACAAGCCCAGAGAGCTGCACACCTCTTGTCCTCTATGACCTGCTTCATGTTCAGAGCCAATGTCTCAGCCTTGATCTGCTTTAACTGGATGGAGACACCAAAATTTTTGGCATCTACTCAGAGCAGGTTTTCAGGCTGGTCCCCAAAGAGGGGAATCTCCACCATGAGCAGGCCGTGTTGGATGGCCTCCATGACACTATTTATCCCACCATGGGTGACAAAAAGGTGGACGTGAGGGTGCCCTGTTGCAAATAACAAAGGCAGCAGAACACTTCAGGATGAAAAGTTTCAGAACAAGGAAAGCAGAAAAGGCAGAAGAAAATACCAATGGGACTTAAAGTGTGTTGGAGCCATTGTGAAGATGACTTTGCTTGCTACACACCCAAGGATTCCAAGCCTTGCCTTTGTATAGAGACTCCTTGACTCAGCCAGAACCCAGGGAAGACTCAGCCAGAACCCAGGGAATTCTGTAGAGAATAGTGCTAAGCAAGGCAGATATCTCCATCCATCCATCCATCCATCCATCCATCATTCCATCTATCCATTCCATCATTCCATTCCTTCTCTCTATCCCCTCATGTCTCTTTGCTTCTCTCATCTGTTTTCTCTTTGTGTTTCCCTATGTCTGTCTCTGTCTCTCTCTGTCTCTTCCTTTCCTTGAGCAAACTTTTCTCACCCACCAAATAATATCCCTCTTCTCTGAATTCCCGACACATTCATTGACATCACAACTCATGTAGCACTCTAAAACTTACACTGTATGTGTTGTTCTCTTTAAATAAATGAGAAGCCACTTGACAGCAAAGACTGGACTCTGCACATCAGTATTTGCTAGCCTTTGCTTACTTAGAGCTAACTAAGGTGATTGTTGATAATGAAGAGTTCATCTCAGCCTGTGCTGGCCAACTGGGATGTGCATGAGAACCTCCTTGTTTCTTCTTTGAAATGAGAATCATATCCCATGTCCAAGACTTAAAGAAATACATTTGCAGACGTGGAAACAGGAATGTTTTTAAAATTCTACAGATTATTTTGTCATAATCTTGGTTATGAGCCTCTGATCCAGTCAGTGGCTATGGCAGTGAGGGGTCTCTAAGAAGCAGCACTAGGCACAGAGATAACCTGTTGTGGGTGAGAAAATTCTCTGGTATCAGAGACTCAGTGTGCCAAATAACTGGCCAGGAGGTTGCTCAGCTTGGCACTCAGGTACATTGGCATCAGTATCGTGAATGTATGAGTTGCTCACACCTTAGTAGCTAAGGAAGATATGTGTGTGTGTCTGTGTGTACGTGAGTGTGTAAGGGAACATGGGTGAACATGTGCACATAAAGCCACTGAATACAGTGGCAATGTGCGCCCTGGTATGCGTTCTCAGAGCTCACAGATTGTTTAGGATTATTTTGTGGTGACCTTGTTCAAGACCAAAAGCAGTAGGTCACTGTGACTTTGATGGCTACAGACATTAGGCCTGGGATAGAAAAGAATGAAGGGCAAAAGAACATCAGGAACATCAAAGAACATCAGGGAATTCTTTACTCAGCCCCATTAGTCCGTGTGGTCAGTTAACAAGGAATAGAATACTGGCACATAAGACAGGGGGCTGGCTTTCCAAGCTTCTCAGCAACCAAGAAAGGCCAGTAGTCAAAAATTTCCACTATCACCAGGTCAAAGTTCTCATTCTTTTTTTTTTTTTTGCGGTACGCGGGCCTCTCACTGTTGTGGCCTCTCCCGTTGCGGAGCACAGGCTCTGGATGCGCAGGCTCACGGGCCCAGCCACTCCGCGGCATGTGGGACTCTCACGGACCAGGGCACGACCCTGTGTCCCCTGCATCAGCAGACGGACTCTCAACCACTGCGCCACCAGGGAAGCCCAAAAGTTCTCATTCTTTAAAGAATTCATAGTATCATTTCTCCTTAGCAAATGACTGCACGGAAGCCCTAGTTGCTCCAAAATAGCTAAAACGTGTTCAAATGTGCTTCTGTAAGAAAAATAAATAAATGATAAATATTCATTGGAAGTGTTAATATCACAATACATAAAAGAATCTTGGTCCACTGACAGATGAATGGATAAAGAAGATGTGTTATACGTATACAATGGACTATTATTCCACCATAAAAAAGAATGAAATAATGTCATTTGCAGCAACATGGATGGACATTGAGATTATCATACTAAGTGAAGTAAGTCAGACAAAGACAAATATCATGATATCACTTATATGTGGAATCTTAAAAAATAATACAGATGAACTTATTTACAAAACAGAAATAGACTCACAGACATAGAAAACAAACTTATGGTTACCAAAGGGGAACGCAGGGGAAGGGATAAATTGGAAATTTGGGATTAACAGATACATGTTACTATATATAAAATAGATAACAGAGGTCTACTGTGTAGCACAGGAAACTATGTTCAATATCTTGTAATAACCTATAACGGAAAAGAATCTGAAAAATAATATATATATATATATATATATATATATATATACACATATATATGCATAACTGAACTGAATCACTTTGCTGAATACCTCAAACACTGTACATCAACTATACGTCAATTAAAAAAAAAGAATCTTGGGATACAAAGAAAATATTCCAGGTAGGTAAGACCACACCCAACAGCAGCCATCCTATTCTACCACTGTCCATAAATATGTACCTTAGTCACTCTGGGCAGATGTTCTGCTCTTGAGAGTGTTCCCTTCGTCCCCCCTCCCTTTCCTCACTGCTTCAAATCCCCAGCACTCTCTATGCCAGTTCTTAGAAAATATATCTTTGAACTCTCCATTCCTGAAATCCATGGGCACAGATGCATTATGTTAACTGAAAATGAACTGCCATCAATGGGGCTTCTGCTCTGGGAGGCTTCTTTGACCACAGCAGACCTCACAGAACTCTTTCTACTTGATAAATTCTGCGACACTTTCCTTAAACTTCACTTACATACTGAACTTTTATGAGTGGTTTTCTTGTTTACTTAGCAAAACAGTGCAAGGCACTTGATGACACAATCCCATAAATATTGACAATGTAGGCTATTTTTTAAAAATTACTGTGTATTCACATATGACAGATTTCCTCACCCAAGGGATTATTTGATCATATTAGAACAAAATCTCAGCTAGCCCAGAGGTTAAACAAAGGAAAAAAAAACCTGGATCTGAAACATATGATTAGCCTTTCCACTTCAGTGCAGGCTAAGGTATGCAGAGAAGATAATGGCAAAGCTTTCTGACATGTAATTAAGACATTGCCTATGGGATTATTCCAGGAACCTATCTTCTTGCAACGCTTTCCCATCACTGCCTATATAGATTATGACTCTGTTTCCTGTTTGTACAACATATGGGGAAATAGGATACCCATCTGCACTCTAAGATACTAGAGGTAATAAGTGCAAGGACTCGAGACATCAGAGCCCTCCTGGCTGCATGGAGGACCAAGAGAATCGGTACCCTGGCATAGTTATAATTTTCCACCATTGCACCATTGTGCCCCAGGTAGAGATTGCACAGAGGCTGAGAAGTCATTAGCAATATACATATCTCTGCCTGATCTTCAGGGTTAACTTCAAGTCACGCAATGAAAGTGATTGGCTCAAATCATCCCCTGCTGTGTTTTAAAGATTTCACGTAACAAAGGAGTGGTTACTAAAACTTTTGGATAACTTCAGTAATGTTGTAAAAATTCCTAGAATATAATTTGCTAATCATAGTTAAAGTTAAGCTAACAAATAGAAAAATATCAAGAATGCATGGTTACCTATATCTGTCCTCAAAAATATGAAATTAGGGGAGAACAGACAAAGCATATACTTAAAATGTATAAATAACGTCGCAAGACGATACAGACTAAGTATCAGATGAGTAGGTTAGGTCAGACCTATCCCAGAGGGACTATGGTCTTCCAGTTTGAGTGAGGAAAGGAGGTTTTATGGAAATAGTCAGATTTAAGCAGTACCTTTATTAGTAAATAGATTTTCAGGAAGAAAAGAGGGGACTAGTCCTCTGTAATTAATCCAGATAGGCATGGATTTCTGTCTTTTCACTTCTATGTCTATGAGTAAGGAGTTATGTGTTCCTTTCCATTCCAGATGAAGCAAAAGGAGTCAGCTTCATGTCTTATTTTGCACGAGGCTGATTGCATTTTAAAAGGACTTTACATGGCCAGAAGCTCAACTTCTACAAAATCATTGTTTAAAAGTCTCCTCCATTAATAAATACATGTGAGGAGAAAGGAAAAAAATAAATGGAAAGGTGTCTTTGATTTCCCTACCAACAGTGAGAGGTTGAGGCACCTATGCTTCTGTGTTGGGGAGATTATAGACAAAGATTGTAAGTGAAGTGTTGCAAGGAAGTCCCAGAAGAAACTACCTCCCAGCTGCTACAGGAATGCCTTCATGCTTATAGTAGAAGAGAGGAAGGACAGAGCAAGGGAAAGCCTCCAATGGCTGGAATGGAGGATTTGGTGTGAAATACTTGTTTACCCAACTATTATCATCATTCACCCCTCTCTCCCTCCCCCTCTCCATCGATCCAACCATCCCTTTATCACATCCTCAGTCCAAGCATCCACTTATATTACCAAAACTGTGACTCTTCAGTTCAAATAATTTAAAAAATTACCTGCCCTCAAAAGTTTCTTCCATAAAGAAATGAAAAGACTTCTTAAATTCTTTGTTATCATCTTCAGGTAGAAACCAGTTAATAACTTTGTATGATTTCTCCTCCTCTGTAAAACCTAAGAAACACCAATGGGTTAAATGTTAAATGTGTCACACAACATGGATTAACATTAGAATGATGATACCGACATTCGATTGTGTCTTTTGAATTGTTTTTGTTCCATTTGGTTGCTTTCTTATTCAATCTTGTATGTGAAAGTATTTCTTGAGAGCCTTACAATGATTCAGGAATGCTTTTTAGTTTAAATTATGGAAACTTCCATTTAAAGCCTTAATTGAATGTATAGCTATTTGTCTCATTTTATTGCTGAGAAAATAAAGTTAATTAGTTTAAGATAATTTGTCAAGGTTGATTCCAGAGCCTCTGCTCTTTTTGTTTTAGAAAAATTCAACTTCATTATTTAAAGTGATATATCCAAATAGTTTGTGATTCAGTAGGAAGTACTGAATGGCTTAATTAAAATAGTAATCTTCTGCACCTCTACATACCAACTTGGCTTCTCCTCGATTACCCATGAGTTTGCTGTTTGATGCTGATGTTTGACCGCTAGCAGGCTTCAAGCCCTATCTCCCATTCCCTCTTCTGTGCATTACCTGGGCAAACTGGTAAGAAAGCCTGCATGCTCCCTCTTGTGGCCCTAAGTGGGAGTTTCAAACCATGCAAGTCAGGCCCATGAGGCGGAACCCTCACCACATCCCAACCCCCTGCCCACAATAAAAATTCAAGCTAGTCATCCCTCCCTACTCTCGATAGCCATTTTTCAGGGGCTTGGGAACCTGTCCTGTTCTTTCAAAAAGTCCTTGTTATTTGAGTAATAAACCTTCCATACTCTTCTTAATGCATTTGTACCTACATCAGTCATGACGTCCAACCAAATTGTGCATAGTGACTGGGAACAGATCATTGCATGGTCCCACACATTACAGCTCCCATATCCAACCTCAGTGAAATGACTGACTCTATCCAAGGATCTACTAAAAAATACTTGGCAGTCATAGATTTGGCTAATATGTTCTGTTCAGTACCTATTTTACCAGGCTCTCAACTGCAGTTTGCCTTCACCTTGGAAGAGGCACAGTATACCTCTAACTGGTTGCCAATGGGACATTTCAACAGCTCTACCATTGGCCACAATCTTTGTTGGCAAAATATTAACCACATCCAACTTTCCCCAGGAGCATAGGTATTAATTACATTAAGGACATCCTCCTCCAAGGAGATTCATTTCACACACTCACTCAAGGCAGAAACATTCTCAAAGTAGTTCACATGAAGGGATGTGCCATTGTCCCCACACAAAGCTCAAGACCCAGTACCTAAGCGAAATTCCTGGGAAAGATTTGGTCAGTCTGTTTTTCTATCACTGACATTGTCAAGAAACAACTATTGACACCATAATATTTCAACGGGTCCAACATCTTTTAGTTCTTTTGCATTCTGGAGACAACATATTTCTCACTTATACGTTTTACTTAAGTCCATGTATGCTCATTGCTTGAAAATCAGCCCACTTTGGATACGGTCCCAAATAACAAAACATCTAGAATTTGTCCAAATCACAATATAGTAGGTACTGTAATTAGTGCCCCTCAAAATTGCCTTTAGCAACCTGCTCTCCTGCCTCCTGGAGTGACCTGACCACCTATGATGGCTGCATGGGTTTCCTATTGTTGCTGCAAAGATTTACTGTAAACTTAGTGGCAAAAAACCCACAAGCTTATTATCTTACAGTTCTGGATATCAGAAGTCCAAAATGGGTCCTATGTGAGTAAAAGCAAGATGTGGGCTGGCCTGCATTCCTTCTGGAGGCTCAAGGGGACAATCGTTTCCTTGCCTCTTCCAGCTTTTAGTGACTGCCTGCATTCCTTGGCTTATAGCCTCCTTCCAATTGGCAATCACACTCTGACTTTTCCTTCCACCATCACATTCCTTCTGTTACTCTCCTGTTATCTTCCTTCATTTAGAAGAACTCTTGTAATTACACTGACTCCACCTGGATAATCCAGGATAATCTCCCCATCTCAAGATCCTTATATCAATCACATCTGCAAAGTCCCTTTGCCTTGTAAGGTAGAACATTCACTGGTTCCAAGAATTAGAACATGGATATCTCCAGGCTGGGGGTGGGGGGGCATTATCTGCCTATTATTATGTTCTGCTCTCTGCACCTCAAACACTCACGTACATCCCACATGCAAAATGCATTCACCCCATCTCAACATCCCAAAAGGTCTCAAACTTTTACACTACCAACTCATAGTTCAAAATCTCATCTAAATACCATTGGCTCAAATGTCCCAAATTATAACATCCAAATAATTTAATAAGTGTGGGTGAGAGTCTGGGTATGATCAACCCAGAGGCAAAATTTCTCTCAATCTGTGGACCTATGAAATCAGGAAACAAGTTTTCTGCTTCCAAGAAACAATAGTGGGGCAGGTATAAGACACTGGTTACTGATTTTATTAATCTAAATGCAACAAAGTGGAAGGAAAACATCAGTCACTGGTCGTAAGAAATTCTGACATCCAAATGGGCCAACTAATATTGTTGGCCCATTTGGATGTCAAAATTTCTTATTAAGGACTGGAAACAATCCTCTGTGATTTGAAACTCAGCCCTGTGAGATTGAAGCTCTAGCCTCTGGGCTTACTGCTTCATCCTCAGAGTTCTTCTTTGTTCTCCATAAAAGTTATCATGCCCTGGGGTCCCACACGGGGAAGATGAATCCCCTTAGCTGGTTTGAAAACCAGTGGGACTTACCAGAGGGCTGTAAGAAACCAAGGCTTCACTTGTGAAGAGTGTGTATACACGCCTGCTCACTCCCAGGAACAAAGCAGAGGAAGCAGGTTGAAACTCTTGGGGATCTGGCCGGTTTCCCGGGACCAGCCCAGTGCACACCAGGCCAGCACTAGGCTCCTGCTCCAGTGCGGTCCCCACTAGAGTGAAGGCTGCTGTTGCCGAGGAGAGTGTGCACTTCGGGGGAACGAAGCGGCTCAGACACAGCCCTGCATCTGAACAGGGCAAGGGCAGCCATTGCCCTTGGAGGCAGTCCTCATTTGCAGAGTTTTAACGTCTGCATTTCCACTAACAGTGTGTTCAAGGCAATCTAGGCTTTTTCTATCATGACCTCAATATCCTTTCAGCCTCTATCAATAACCCAATTGTGATTCCACATAACGATTGGAGCTTATGAATCCACAAGTATGATTATTAGTGATCTTTGTTTCTTCAGTGCCACTGAGGTTATTTCTTCAACTAAAGTTGTTAATAAATAAGCAAGATGGGTGTGTTCAAATTAATAGTTAATAAATGGTTCAAATATTCCATACACTGAAATGAGCATCAGGTCAGAAATAATAACCTAATCATGTATTTTCCAGATTTGCAGACACCTAGCCTATCTCTTCTAATGAAGTAAAGAATGAATATGCTGGGGCTTCCCTGGTGGCACAGTGGTTGAGGGTCCGCCTGCCGATGCAGGGGACACGGGTTCGTGCCCCGGTCCGGGAAGATCCCACATGCCACGGAGCGGCTGGGCCCATGAGCCATGGCCGCTGAGCCTGCGCGTCCGGAGCCTGTGCTCCGCAACGGGAGAGGCCACAACAGTGAGAGGCCCGCGTACAGCAAAAAAAAAAAAAAAAAAAAAAGAATGAATATGCTGTTTCAAAGCCTCAGGAATGCCCATGATTAGGGAATATTGAAAGAAACCCTAGACACTTAAACCTGGAACCTAAGAATAAGACTGAATGGATCTAAAAACTCCCTGAATTGTTTATAGATTTTGATGTACATACATTTGTTAAAGGGGTAGAAGTTCAGTAGTTTCTCAAAGTTCATGCCAAATGTATTTTTTAATCTAAAATTTTAATTTAAATTAATTTAATTTAAAATTTTCATTAGATTAAATTACAATTTTAAAAATTAGATCTTAATACACTACAGCTATTTCATCAGATCTGCTATCAAGGAAAGTGCAAAAGGATACGCATATAAAAGATGCTCAGTGAAGCATATAGAACTTAATCTAGAAGGTGATTAGAATGGTTTTAAGTAGGGACTCAAACAGATATTTGTACACCAATGTTCATGGCAGCATTACTAACATATCCAAAAGGTGGAAACAACAGAAATGTCCATCAACAAATGAATAGACAAATAAAATATGGTATATACATTCAATAAAATGTTATTCAGCCTTAAAAAGGAAGAAAATTCTGATACATACTCCAACATGAATGAGCCTAAAAGATATTATGCTAAGTGAAATGTGCAAGATACAAAAGACAAATATTGTATGATTCCACCTATATAAGGTATATAGCACAGTCAAATTACTAGAGAAGTAATGTAGAATAGTGTTTACCAGGGGCTGGGGCAATGGGTAATGAGCAGTTATTTTTAATGGGTACAGAGTTCTAGTTTGCAATGATAAAAAAGTTCTGGAGGTGGATGGCAGAGATAGTTGCACAACTGTGTGAATGTACTTAAAGTCACTAAACTCTATACAAAAATGGTTACAGTGGTCAATTTCATGTAATGTATATTTTATCACAATAAAAAACATAAAAGAAATTTCGACAGAAAAAGATTTTAAAACAATCTGAACAATTACAAAGCCTGAAGTCACCTTCAAAGTTTTATAATTTCTCACAATTTTATTCTTCAAAGAGTCCGCTTAATACTGCATTTTTTTTCTTAAATCAAAGCCTGAGCAACACTTCAGAATGAGCAATCCAGAGCTTAAAGTCCTAAACCCACCCAACACACTTATTAACCTGCCGTGTGACCCTGAGTAAATTGTTCAAGTTCTTAGGGCTGCTGTTTCCTTTTCTGTCAATAGAGAGGAGTTACTAAGATTTAGGAGCTCATTCTAGCTAAACTCTTTGGATTTAGGCACTTCCTACATCAGTATGCACAAACTCACAGGCAGTCACTAATTTTCAAGAAAACAAGATCATCTCAATGGTAGATTCTGATCTTAGTTGCGTAAATAAGGGACCTCCTGAGAAAACTTCCTTAAATTTCAGATACCATAAGAGGAGAAGTCATCTATGCCATAGAAAAAAGTGATCCTTACCTATTAGAAATCTTATACATGGATAACACATCTGTTCAACAGGTTTTCAAGCCAAGTTATAAAGTAGCATTACCAAAATGGTCTGTGATAATGTGTGGAGGGTTGCTTGAGATGGACTGGAAGTCAGGTACAGGAGGAGAACATAGAACTACAGAGCATGGAGTCCTGGTGGAAAGAGCCAGGAAGTTTTCCTACACCTTACATAGACACACACACAAACACACACATGCACACACTCGCCCTTTTCATTCTTTCAGTCCAGTTACATTTGAAGAAACTCTTTGAAAAGACCCTCTATGCAAAAGGCATTGCTATTGCTGTTCCTTGCCTGGAATACACCCAATCAAGAATTAGTGGGGAAGATACCTGGTGGCAATAAATTTCCTCTCTGGAGAGGCATGGTGACATTACGACCATGATCTTGAAGAATCTGAGAGACCCGATTCATCAGTAGAAAATGGCTTCCACCTAGGAACAGTGCACAACTTCATTTTTGTAATGATGAGAGTAGAGATTCTAAGACTGATGGGCTGACAAATCCAGGAGAGGAGGGGTAGGGAAGCAGGAAGTTGCCAGGGAGTAGAGGAAATGAGCGTCATCAGTCAGTCTCTCCATCGCATTCTCAGTAAGCCCTAGCCCACTCACCCAGAGCCTGCTGGCCCAGCTCCTTGACAAGTGGCAAACCTCCATCAAAGATTTCCTCTTGTAACTCTGGCCTCCATGTCAGTGTGATAAGCTTCTCGGGGCTTAGGCCCTAAGGGGTTCCTGATCCTAAGGTACATACTGCATTTCAGCCGGGACTTATGGAGACACCATGTCCTAAAGAAATAACTGCACTGGTGGAAATTGTGGCATGGCACCGTGCATGTGAGTGTGAAGGGATCCTAATGGACAAGCAATCAGAGCTACTTCTGGGATCCTTCTCTTTGGAAAGTATGCAAGAGTAGGAGCCAGAAATATGGGTGCTTGAATAAGTCCAAGAAGCAACCATTGCAGCAGAAGGACGTGGAGCTATCAGTTGGAGCCAAAATGCTTGCAGTTCAAATATATTTGGCAGGAAGTTTCTCAGTTGGGGCCTGAATGTTTCACATCCATTAAGACTTGGGGATAGACTTGCAGGATAACTGTGGGGTCCATGGGATGGGCCTGCAGGATCCTATATGCATGAGTGGCTGGGACATCGTCTATCCGAGGACAATCCTGGGATCCTAAGGAAACATAAGCTCAATCCTTGGGAGAGGGGCAAGCTCCATCTCACTAAGGTCTCCTCTTCGAACCCACACCAACACAGGCACTTTGCTTGAATCTAAGGGTCTCAGCAGCAGAGAAAGCTAAATCAGGAGAGAAATTAATGGCAAATGGCAAGGGTTTGGAGACTGGGGTTAGAGGGATGGAGTACCTACCCTGCCCCCCACCGACCCGCACAAATTGCTCCTCCCTCTTCGTCCGCCCGCCAGGGTAACAAACCTGCTCCAGGTGGTGCAGGAGAAAAAGTGTACAGCTACTTCTTAATTTTTTTTTTTTTTTTTTTTTGCTGTACGCGGGCCTCTCACTGTTGTGGCCTCTCCCGTTGCGGAGCACAGGCTCCGGACGCGCAGGCTCAGCGGCCATGGCTCATGGGCCCAGCCGCTCCGCGGCATGTGGGATCTTCCCGGACCGGGGCGCGAACCCGTGTCCCCTGCATCGGCAGGCGGACTCTCAACCAATGCGCCCTTCCACCTTGGCTCCTGGGCACCCTCAGAAAATTATTACTGCTGCCTCCAGGAGCACCTTTCCTTGGCCTCCGAGAACTGCAAACCGCTAGTTAGCCCCAGTTTTTACCGGCAACTGCTGTGCGCCCTCCAGAAGTTTAGGGTGAGCCTCTGAATGTCCAGCCCGCGCCCTGGAGGAGGCGGCCGGGGGCCTCCTGCACTGGGCTGGATCTCAAACTTCTGGCCCCAGCCCCGTTCCTACCCGCACAAATGGCTCCCCGCTTTTCATCCGCCGGTCAAGGTAACAAACCTGCTCCAGACTGGAAAAACACACGACTCTCTCACCACGTGTCGTTTGCCTGTCTCTGGATCTTTGGCCAAACACTTACCCACCAGGGACAGAGTTAGGATTTTGGCAGCCTCTGAGAGCAGGAGGCCAGGCAGTAGGAATCCGACTAGAAGCAGCGCCTGCTGCCCCGCCATCCTTGCTCCTGTAGAAGCTGCGGGGCCGAGACCCCTGCCCTGCCCCCGCACAGGGGACCTGATGCGCAGGCAGCGAAGGAAAGGATCTGGCTGGGGGCTTGGGGAGAAATAAGAGAGTGGTTCTGCCCATCTTCCGTTCTGTTTGTCCCCTCTTGCCCTTGGGCCCCTCCTCCCTCTGTGAGGAAACCATTAGACAGTCTCTCCTCACCCTCCCTAACCTTGGCAGCAGAAAGGAGGGGTTAGTCAGCTGATCCAGTGCTGTTCACATAATCTCCACCCTCCCTGCCTGGGAGATAACTCTGAACCAGGAATGGTAGAGACGTTTAGAAATCACGTGGATGACAACTCTACCTCCAGGTGACTTGGACCCATCTCAGTTTTATGGACCCTTCCCCAAACTTATGGTACTCCACCTAACCGCTCTAACACTTCATACTGCTGTATCCACGTTCCACTTCCCCAGGTACCTGCTTAAAATCTCTGCTAGTGTAGCAAACTCAAGACCTCCCTAAGCAAATCCCCAAGGGAACTTCTGGATTATAGCTCTGATGGCCTTTTAAAAGGAGGTAATTTATTCATGAAGAGGTGCTAGAGGCCTAACTCTGAAGTCCAAGTCTTCACCCGGAGGACCGGACCTCTAAAGCTGAGACTCTAATCCTGAATGAGCCTCATAAAATAGGACTAGGGATCTTTCCACAGTCTCCCTAGGTACAAGTTGAGGCCATCTTGTAATTCTGCCACCTTGTAATGTTAACCCTGGGAAGGACAGGGCATGCAAATCCCAGAAGTCATCTTTGCATTTTCTATCCTCAAAACAAGACTGGCTTCGGTGCGGGGTTTTAGTGCAACTCTGAAACAGGCAGAAAAAGATCTCAATGACCGGAAACAAGAAAATTCCTAGAAGAAAACATAGGCAGTAAGCTCCTTGACATAGGTCTTGGTGATGAGTTTTTTGGATTTGACACCCAAAGAAAAGCAACAAAAGCAAAAATAAACCTAATCAAACTTACAGTCTTTTGCATAGCAAAGGAAACCATCAACAAAGTGAATCATAACTCACCACGATAACAGAGTAAAAATGAAGTACCATATGATCTCAATAGATGCAGAAAAAAGTCTTTGTTTTCTGGACAAAACTCAATACCCTTTTATGATAGAAACTCTCAGCATAACTAGCAATAGAAAGTAATTTCTTCAATGTGATAAAAGGCCTATATTTTTTAAAATCTTGGTCTATAATCATACTTAATTGTGAAACATTGAACTTTTTCCATCTAAGATAGGAACAAAGCAGAAATGCCTGTTCTTACTATTTTTATTCAACAACATGGTAGAAACTCTAGCCAGTTCGTAAATAAATGAATTAATTAATTAAATAATCGGGAAGGAAGAAGAAAATTGATATTGTCAGAGACACTATTGTGTACACAGAAAACCCTTATGGAAGCTACAAAAAGTCCCAATAGAATAAGTCAGTTCATCAAAATTGCAGGACTCAAGGTTTATATATAAAAATCAGTTGTATTTCTATCTAATAGCAAAAACTAATGGAAATTGAAATATAAAAAACTTTACATGCCTAAGATTAAATCTAGCCAAAAAAAAGTCCATGACCTCTACACTCTACAAAGCATTACCGAAATCAAAAGATGTACACTGTTAATGGCTCTGAAAGCTCAAAACTGTTATGATCTCTGTTCTCCCAAAACTGGTCTATAAATCCAACACACACACACACACACACACACACACACACACACACACAATCCCAGCAAGCTGCTTTGAAGACAAAAGAACTAAATATTTATATATTTAAAAAGATCATAATCCTCTAAAACAACTATGCACAAACTTTAATTCAAGATGGATCATGGGCCTAAATGTAAAATATAAAACGATAAAACCTATAGAAAAAGAAAGCATAGGAGAATACCCTTCTGATCTGGAGATAGCAAAGATTTCTTAAGTAATAAACAAAAAAACTGATAAACCAGGGTTCATCGAACATAAATGCTTCTGTTCATCAAAAGACTAGTAAGAAAGAAAACAGGCAATCCATGGAAGATCTCTATCCATAACATAAAAAGAACTTCTACAAAACTATAATAAAAAGACAAACAACCTAACTAAAAACTGGGCTATTTTGTTTGTTTTGTTGGTTTGTTTTTGTTTTATAAGGCAAAGGGGAAGGAAAGAGGTGGACTGACATGACTTCCTCTTTGATAGAGGTTTCTGGAGCTGAGTGTGTGGACCTGAGTAGGATCTGAGAGAGAGAACTCAAAAAAAACAGGGAGGGGGCTAAAGATGAACAGACATTTCAAAAAGGAAGATATAAAAACAGCTATTAACACCTGAAAAAATGTTTAACATCATTGGAGATGAAGGAAATGAAAACTGAAACTAGAGGTACCATTTCACCCTCACCAGAATGGTTAAAATTAAAAAGACTGACAACACCAAATGTTGGTAAGGATGTGTACATGGCCAAAGGTAGGAGAACTATTCAGCAATTTCCTTAAGTGATAAACCCGCATTTACCCATTTCCTTGTTTTTGTCTTTGCTACAATTCTCTCTGGTGCTTAGAGTGTTCCTGCTTTCTTCCTTCTGCCATTATGCTTTCTTCCTTCTTCCCCTCATCTAAACTGTACCCATCAATTTAATGGTCTTCCTGCTCTGGGAGATGTTACACGGTCTCATGAACACAAGTGAAGGAACAGCAATTTTTTTTTTTTTTTTGATAAACGACTCTAAAAGCTGTGTGCCAGTGACATCTGCCAGTCTCTTGCTTTCAACTATTGGGCCAACAGACATCTTCACATTCCATCGGCAGCAAATCCTTCAGAAAAGTCACTGTTGCCTGGGGCTCCTGTTTAAGAGGCAGTGAATGAGGACTTTATATTTTTCTTCGTCCCTAAGGGCCTCTTCTGTGATGCAGATTCTGAAAATCCTGCTGACGATTAATATTCTGTGTCAGCTTTTACTTGAGGTTTTACTTTATTGGGGCTTCATTTTCTTTTCTTTTAATAATGTTTAAACATTTGCTAGTTTATAGAGCATTTGACAAATGCCCCACCTAAGGGGTTCTACACTAATGATCTCAGGACGCAGCAAATTGGCTGAAAAGTGAGATTCTCACTTCCCAAGCCCAGGAATCAGGCAGTCAACTGATGAACTGGATGATCAGCAATCAACTATGACCACTTTTGCTAAAGAGAAGGCCCGACATTTAGAGAAAACCCTGAGGAGACAGCCCTGCCCTGTGCTCTTTGGTAAGAGATGTTGGGGAAGATTAGAGACATGGCTTGTGGAGGGTAGAGTCTCTACTTTGTGGGCTATAATTCCTGGGGGCCTTTACAATTACATCTATGCCTGGACTTCACCATAAATCATTTACATAAGACATTCTGAAATGGGACCCAGACATAAGTATGCTTTCAAAGTTCAAAGCAGACAGTTAGCTTAAGGCCAGAAAGAGATAGTGTAAGGAGTCTTCTTGAATTCAGTGACTGAATGAGAATAATTTTCCAAGTTATACCTGGAACAGTAGCAAAGGTTTCATTAACTGCAAAATCCTAGTCAAGAAAGATGTGATTTACACTTTGGTCTAATATGTCTATAAATCTCAATCTTTAGATAGTGCAGTCAATGTTTACCATCTGCCTACTATGTGCTGTACACTATGATACATTCTGTGGACCTGGTAGTAAGCAAGGCAAACATGACCTTTGTCCTCATGGAGCTTACAGTTTGACTGGGAAAGAGATGTTGAGCAAATCATTAAAAATAACAGATTAAACAATAATCAGTATGTTAAGGGTTTCAAAGAAAAGAACTAGGCATTATGAAAGTGTAGTCACAATCTAATTAGCAGTTAGTATAGTGATTCTGTCTGTATGCTACTACTTATTTCATGTAAATCAGTTGGGAGACTTTAATTATGCTTAAAAAAAAAGTTAAGGGGCTTCCCTGGTGGCGCAGTGGTTGGGAGTCCGCCTGCCGATGCGGGGGGCGCGGGTTCATGCCCCGGTCCGGGGGGATCCCGCGTGCCGCGGAACGGCTGGGCCCGTGAGCCGTGGCCGCTGGGCCTGCGCGTCCGGAGCCTGTGCTCCGCGGTGGGAGAGGCCTCGGCGGTGGGAGGCCCGCGTACCGCAAAAAAACAAAACAAAACAAAACAAAAAACAGTTAAAAACACGTGGGACAGTTTTGAGAAATCCTGCCTAGAAATCCAGGGCTGGAGAGTCTCTACAAAAAGCAAGTCTTTATGTAGAGAAAAGAAAAGTTCCTCTTCAAGGTGGACAAGTGACACTTTGAGCAGCACTGGCCCAGAATGCCAACTCAGGATACCCGGAGTCTGCCTTCAGTATCCCACGTCTCCTTTTCTGGATCTCCCTCCCAAATTTTGTGCGCTCCATTACCCTTCTTACTAATTCTGATAGTCACACATCTAATCTCCAACCCTCCCCTCTCTCCACAGGGAAGAGACTGACAGGTGGTGAGGTTTAAAAGGTGTCCCAAGGCCCCTCCCATTTAGTATCCTAGGAAATACTCCCCATTACCTACTATAATGCAGTAGCTCAGATCAGGGCAGGATGGTGACTGCGTAAATTAACCCATCTATCTACTGATTCAACACAAATTTATCGAGCATTTATTATGGGTCAGGCACAGGTGGTTCTGCAAACAAAAATAATTCCTCTTGGAGCTTATGTCTGAGAAGAGAGATGAGAAATAGCACATATTACGTTAGATAGTGCTAAGTTAAGTGCTAGGAAGAAAAAATTAAGCAGGGATGCTCCCTCAGAAATGACTTCCAGATAAGAGCCTGAAGGAAGAGGAAGTGCTTAACCACACAGATGATTGGTGTTTCTTAATCAATGAATATCTACTGTGGGGTAACATTTTGCCGGAGACTTCCAAGTACATTATTTGATTATAATCCTCACAGCCACACTGATAAGCATTGCATTAGAAGCCATCCACTCACCACTCCCCCTTTTTT